TGAAAGACCTGCAATTTATTGCAAAGTGATCCAGAGGTAACGAAGAAGCAGGAGGTTAATGGCTGCCTGCACCAAAAGCCTCTCAATCATTTTGCAGTAAATAATTATGGAAAGTGACTTGACAAGTAGCCATGTGTGTATCACAGCTACAGTCATATATACCACCTACATGCCTCCCATAGTGACATAGGGTGTCTGGGTTTTTGTTTTGGTTTTCACTTTGATTTTTGGTGTCATAACAGATTTTTACATTTTGTTCTGTGCAGCATATTGCACTGAAAGCTTTGCTTACACTGTTCTACTCACTGAAAGATAGGGACAATAGAAACCAGAGGGAATGGTAGGATGATGTCAAGAGTTTTACTCTTGACTCTGCTCCTAGTATTTGACTTTGCACGTCTGTATCTGCAGTAGTTTGAGACATATATATTCTACCAATTATCTGAAAATGAATTTTAGCTCACTGCTTTTCAGGAAAATGACTATTTTGAACATGTGATTAGCTGGGATGTTTGCCAAAACAAAAAACAAATCCTAAGCCACAGTTCATAACAGTGGTTGAAAACCACAGCCTACACAATGTCATTTTCTGACTGGATTTAACAAAAATCATTTCATTTTAACAAGCCTACTTAATGAATGAGTTCTGAGACATGATCCACTAGGATCATCTTGTTTGACTACATCCATCTCTGTTCCGCAGATTCCTTATTGTCCCTAGTAACTGGAATGAAATGGGTAAAATGCTGCAATCAATCTACATCCTTCTGTGATCTTCCTGCAGTGGGAAGAGAGGCCATGAACCACCCCTGGCAGGAGAAACAAACCTCTGAGATTGGTTTAGATTTAAAACCCACCACTATGACATTAACCACTTAATCTTACATATAGGCAGGTCAAAATTTTAATATAAATTACTTTTTCCAACACATAGCTTATGCATTCTTTGCTCCTTTTTTTTGGAGAAGTCTCAAATTGACATCTAAAGATTTACATATGATATATTACTGTTATATGGTCTAATGACTAAGAAAATTTCTCTGGTAACCAAAGCTGATGCCATATATGGTAGTGTTCTTGGCATATATGCTATATGCCTCAGACCACTTCCACATTCTTTCTATTCAGCTAATTATAGCTTAGTAGCCACTGGTGAAGGATTGTGAAGACCCTGTCATTTCTACAGAATAGAAAGGCAAGGCTAGTTACTGCAATTCAGCCAAATAAAAAGAAAAAAGAATAAACCAACCCCTTAAAAAGGAGAGGTACCGCACCTTTGCAAAATTGAACTGGCTCACTGCAGCTGAGCAACAGAACCACCAAATGAAGCAAGAAAACAAATTGGTCTACGAAGGAATTGTACATGGTTTGAAAATGAAAGTTACAGCAATCAATGAACAGCCACAACCTTAATTTTCATTGCTGCCTCAGAGTTTGAAACTTAAAAGTTTCTGCAAGCCTAATGCTAACTTCTCAGCTCTTTAAAACTAGTTAGGGATTTGTTCTCCGCAGCAAAGAAAAAAAAAAAAAAACAAAACACTCAAAAACACATATGTAAATACAGCAGGACATTATTGAAAACAGCTGCCTTGTAGTACAAAATACAGTACAAGTATACGGATGTCATTAAAACATCAAAAATACTATTGCTCCCATACAATTTAGGAAACATTCTTTGCAACGGAGAAAAATTAAAAAAAAAAAAAGATTAAAAAAATCTGTTTAAAAAGTCTACTGTGGATGATGAAAGTAGAGAGTCTGAAAAGGGCACCAATGTTCGTGGCTCTTCCACTTTTTTTTTTGAAATCTAAGATTAGTAATATTCTGCATCATAACCTAATTTTTAAAAAGCTTAATTTTATATACACAATTATTTCCCTCCCTCTAGCCACAATGTGTGAAAATGACCTTTTTGTATATTACTTATTTCCCAATAAATACAAAAAGTGTATAGATTGAATACTACCAAAATAAGATAATAAAAAGGGTATGCAATAAATTAAACGGCAGCTCAAATAAAGGGCAGGCATGCAGTTAAAAAAAAAAACAAAAAACAAAACTAAGACTGAGGAGGTGGGGTTACTTGCCTCCTGGTTGAGAAGGTGTCTCACAAAGAATACCTGAAAATTTTGTAAAGAACATTAGCTCCCATTCAATTCAAAGTTACCTAGGTCTCTGACGATTTAAGGAATACCTTTTGATGGGGTGGGATTAACTTGATTAGAAAAAAAGATTTCTACTGAAAATCCATTTAAAATATAGAAGAGGCGATCCTTGAAAACCCCAACTTTTATTCTTGAAAGACAGCTGGCTAAACTGGCAAAAGCCAGTTTGTTGAAATTTCAAGATGGTATAAAAATGCTTCCAGGATATAGTCAGCATATTCATTGTTCACTTCAGCTCCATTCAGATGGATTTGTTTCCAAAGGACACGCTGCTTGAATCACTTATCCACCATTTGCCATCTTTGATTGTGAGGTACTGATACAATGGATCAAGTTCTTAAAAATTTATTTTAAAAGAATAAATGATGCTGGAATTCTGGACCTGAGGATCTTTAGTGTTTGAAAAAAATCCACAGATTAAACTGAAGGTAGATGAAGACTTCAGTTTTGGTTATCCAACTTTTCTGTGAAGATGTATATTCCATTAAAGCTCAAGCTTGTAGTCACACTGTTCCTTTTGTAAGTATCTTCAAGTTTTAAAGTTTAAAACCCGGCCAACCAGTGGCGGAAACAGCCGAATTAGCCACACTTCACTGGCTTACAAGGTGGAGCCACAGGGATCTGGCTCTCATTCATACCTAAGCCATTTCTTGGTAATGACCTCCATATATGGAGATCAGGGGAAGAACTTTAGTGAGCAGCAACCAATCCACTCAAACAGTTTTCCTTGTGCTTTATGCCCGATTTCTTCTTGTGCCTACCTCAGAAACCTCCAATGAAAAACTGCTCTTCTAGCTTTGAAAAACTTTTGACAACTTAAAAATTTGTTTTAGTAATGAATTCTAGTTCAAGGATTGACATCTGAGTTCATTTGTGTCCCGGAAAACAGTTCTGTAACAAAAAGACTTGGGCCTTGGTCCAGGTTCCATGCAAAACCATTTTAGACAAAACAGATCCAATTTATTTCTGTATTCCCCAATGGCTTCTTGCTTTCTTATTTTTTCCTGTCCATGATTAAAGTTGTATTCCTTTTCATGAAACCGGTATCCTCAGAAGTGGGTAACTTGCAAAGGCCCCTTTCTCTTCTCAAGAATTCCATGAAGACCTAGATCCAAAATGCTGATTTCAATGGAGGTGAAGGGAAAGACACTGCAAGAGTTCTGGACTGATCTTTAGGCCTGGTTACCCAAGTACTACACAAATTCAGTTGCCATGTTTCTGGGTAACTCAGTGTTCCCTTGGCCCATGCTGGGCGAGGATCTAGCCCCTGCTTGGCTCTCCTGATGTAAGGTTTAGGAGCCTCAGCTGGGAAACAACAGAAGCTGAGACTATTTTGCTCAACTGAGGAGACACTGCTGTCCTCTCTTTGCAGGTTGCTGTCTGTTCCTTGGAACTTTACTGTTTTTCTCTAATTGTCCGCGACTGTTCTCTTAAGGTTATTTTTCTTAATTAACTATTATTTAAAACTTAATTTTCTCCTTCTGGGGCCTCCCTTGTTACCCCTGCACTAGCTCACTGGGGATGGGCAGGAAGGGTAACTCTTTAGCCAAGGGGTTCATGGTTTAAGGGGTGGGGGAGGCCTACAGGGAAAGCGGCTATTTTCAATCCTCATCCACCTCCTCGCCTTCAGACTCATCTCCGCCGCGTCGTTCATAGAGCTTATCCCTCTGCCGCTCCTGGATCTCTTTCATCTCATCTGCATACCGGCAAAAAGCGCCTCCAAACTTGCCCCAGGCCTTGAAGGGGACCGTGATGGCGTTGCGGTAAGACGGTTTCACCTCGCTCACTCGCAGGAACACCCCATACTTGTTGCAGCCTACGTCGAAGAAGAAGCGCTTGGAGTCCACCGTGATGGAGGTGCCTTCCGGGAGCTCCCCATACAGACCGGCTCCAGGACCCCCAGCGCCGCCGCCAGTGCCCAGCTCGTCGTCTTCGCCCCCGTAGTCGTCGATGAGCTTGGCCAGCGCGTCGCGGAACTCGATGAGGCCTTGCGCGGGCAAGGCGATGGTCTGGCCACTCTGCAGGCCGCCGGGCCCAGGGCCGCCGAAGCCGCCGCCACCGCCGCGGTGCACCGTCTGGCGGATGCGCAGGAAGCGGCCGCGCTGGTTTTCTTTGAGGTCTAGGTAGTACTTGCGGTTCTCGCGCACCAGGAACTCGCTCTTGAGCGCGCGCCGGGGTCCGCCGCCCTCCTCGGCTCCCGCCGCCAGTTGCTCTGGGCTGCTGGGGCCCAGCTGCGCGTAGTGCTCGATGAAGTCGCCCAGCGCGTCGCGGAACTCGGCGGCCACAGCCATGGACAGCGTGAGGCGGCTTTTGGAACCGCCCGCGCCAACCTCGGCGATCTTGAGGAAGCGGCCCTTGGCGTTCTGCTTCACGTCCAGATAGAAGCGCTTATTCTGGATGTCCAGCCGCTTCGAGGCCAGCTCCTGTGTCTCCTGCTCGCCGCCGCCTCCGCTACG